CTTTAGAGCACAGTAAATCTACATCAGAATTGGCTTGTACTCAGAACAAACTGAACATCAGCATGAAGATTTTTTAATTTTTCATCTAGCAGTTGCTACATAACAATCTGGCTAGTAGTGGTCACTCCACTGTTTTCTGAACTAGCTGAAGTTTCCAAACTTTCTTCCGAGGCACCTTCATTTATAAGAAAAAATACATTTCAGTAATTCTACAGAAATTACCTGAATATAGTTCTGGAAAAACTAACATTTTTTTTCAGGCTGATATAACTGATGATAGTGAATTTTCATGAATGCTAGTTGGCATCTGAAATCAGGCCTGGTTTTAATAGTACAGATTACATAACCAAAATACTTGCTCTTAATGAGGAGGGCCTGTATATATTGTGGGATGGAGCCAGAGGCGGCCCTAGGTAATTTTCAACGGTAAGCAAACAGTATTTTGCCCCCCCCCCCAACCAATCACTGATATATACTTTCTGTTCATCATGGGAGTTCTGTGTGCCATATTTGGTTCACTTCCATCACTGGTGGAGTCCAGAATGCTCTTTGATTGTAGGTGAACTATACATCCCAGTAACTACAACTGGCATATGTCAAGGTCTATTTCCCCCCAAGAGTGCCTCCAGAGCACCCCTGGGCAAAATCAACTGTACTGCAAATGCTTACTTTGCGTAATGGTTGAGCCGCCCCTGGATGGAGCTATCCAAAGGTTGAATGTCCACGTGCAAATCTACTGAAATACATATGGTAAGGCCCCCGCTACCACGGCCTTTTGAGCTTGTTTCCACTGCTGGAACTGAATGTGCTCTGAAACCATGAAGGGATGGTAGATTCGTTTTAGTGGCCCTTGTCTCCTGCAAACAAATAATTTTGAATTGTTGCAGATAAATTGCAGAATCTGCATCATGAAACTTATTTGTCCATCCCATTATATTCCAGGATAGCAGGTGTAATTGTCACGCTGGTGTCGATAGATCTGAATCATTACCGATGTGCAGAAATTCAATCTGAGCAGAGGCTTTTGGGCTATGGTTATTCAAGCCAGGATCAGTTAGGTGTAGTTCAGCCTGCATAGGCTCTACTAGCTTATCATGCTGTCTCTTTGTCAGATTTAATAACTCTCCTGTCCTTCTTTGGTAACTAAGTTTCTGAATATCACTATTTCTGAGTGGACGAGTAGAGCTCTCCTTTACCATGTTCTCTTTATTTCTGGGCACCACATGTTGAAAGAATTGCATGATTGGGGGCTGTTTCAAACCACAATTTGTACTTGACATTCATGCTTCTTTTGCAATTTGTCCCTTGTCCTCTGCTTCAATACTCATGAGGGCCTCCCAGGGATTGTCATGAACAACACACGGATTAGTAATTTGGGGTTTCATGACTTTCACCTCTGGGGTCAGTGGGAGGTGTTTAATGGAAAGCTCAAATCTCTCCTCAGAGTCTAAAAATCTCATCTCCAACCAATTTTCACTATTCTGAGCTGCTCTTTGCCATTCCTTTGGATTAGTGTGTCCTGCTTCATTAAGATATAGCCCTTCCGTATATATTTCCCTTAGATGGCTACTTAGTGCCTCTAACCTCTCTAGGATATCCAATTGCTCTTTTTTTTTTTTGGCAAATTTGCATATGCCTCAACCAGTGACTGTTCCTCGTTAGAAAAAAGGTTCCCCAAAGAAGGTTACAAAAAAGGTTCAAACTCCATGTCTGGGGGAGTCTCACTGTAAGCATTCCTGACACCTACCTATCCCTTTGTCCATCATCATCATCATCATCATCATCATCATCATCATCATCTAATTACTTATTAATCGCCCTCCATCCAAGAATGCTCTAGTCGATTTACAGCTAAATTGTAAAAGATAAAATACATACATACAAAAATTAAAAATCAACAGGGATCGAATGCTCTAGTACAGGGGTAGGGAACCTTTGGCCCTCCAGCTGTGGTGGACTTCAACTCCCACAATTCCTTGAGGCTCGGCATTCTTCCGAAAGGCTTACCTTGGCCCAATGCCGAGCCTCAAGGAATTGTGGGAGTTGAAGTCCACCACAGCTGGAGGGCCAAAGGTTCCCTACCCCTGCTCTAGTAAAAAGCCAGGTCTTAAGTGCTTGAGTAAAAAAGCCCTAAGTCACGCATGGCTTTCATGTAGGGCGGCAAGGAATTCCATAAGGCAGGGGCAGAAATAGAAAAAGCCCTGCATCTGGTCCTTTCCGAGTGCACTTCTCTAGGACCTGGTATATAGAGTAAGTTGCGTTGGGCTGGTTGTTGCGACCTCTGATGATGGGAGAAGGAGAGACGGTCCCTAAGGTACGATGGACCCTGGTCGTAAAGAGTTTTAAAGGTCAGAACTAACAGAAATAACTTCTGTGGACTTACTAGTCCACAGAAGAAGGCTGTGACCAAGTGAATTCTGTGCCTACTCAATCATCTGTGTGGGAACTAACTTTTAGTATGCTACTTTGTGCCTTCTCTCCCCCCCCCCCTTTTATGGCTCTTTATCTTTACATTGGACTTGGACTTGATGGTCTTTCACCTAAATGACCCTTCAATAGAGGGATGTTCTCTATAAAGTAGGACCTATAGCCAATTTGCTTGTAAATTAAAACAATAAACCAAAGGGATTTTAGACTGTTCACATTTTCTAATTAGATAATTCAGGCATTAAAATGCAACCCATAACTTGCTTATCCAAGATTAGTCTAATCAAGCATAATGGGATTGATGCAGGAAAGGGACCAATTTCTTCAGCAGAAGCAAGGATCTAAACTTACTAGTGTTTTCAGAAGCTGCATTTATTTGAAACAGTAATAACCATTCAATACAATTCTATCCATGAAGACTGAATCATAGAATAAAAGAGTTGGAGGAGACCACATGGGTCATCTAGTCCAACCCTCTGCCATGCAGGAAAAGCACAAAAGTACTCCTAGCCTCTGTTTTAAAGTTTCCAAGGAAGGAGCTTCTAACACACTCTAAGGCAGAGAGTTCCACTGTTGAACAGTTTTTACAGTCAGGAAGTTCTTCCTAATGTTCAAATGGAAACTTCTTTCTTGTAATTTGAACCCACTACTCCGAGTCCTAGTTTCCAAAGCAGCAGAAAACAAGCCTACTTCTACTTCCTTATGACATCTTTTCACATATTTATTCATAGCTATTATGTCTCCTCTTGACCTTCTCTTCTGCAGACTAAACATAACCAATTATTTAAGATATTCCTCATAGGGTATGGTCTCCACACCTTTGATCATTTTCGTTGCCCTCCTCTGAACACTTCCCAGCTTGTCAATATCTCTCTTAAATGGTGGTGCCCAGAATTGGACAAAATATTCCAGATGAGGTCTAACCAAAGCTGAATAGAGAGGCACCATGACTTCCCTCGATCTAGACACCATACTTCTTGCCCAAGTGTAGCATCTTACCTTTGTCCTTGTTGAAATTCATTTTTGCTAATTTTGGCCCAGCTCTCTAATTTGTTAAGGTTATTTTGAATTCTGATCCTGTCCTCTCCTAATTTGGAGTCATCTGCAAATGTGATAATCATGACCTTAATATCTTCATCTAAATCATTAATAAAGATGTTGAACAGTACTGGGCCCAGGATGGAACCCACTAGTCACTTCTTTCCAGGATGAAGAAGAACCAAAGAGCACTCTTTGGGTTCAGTTGCTTAACCAATTACAGAACCACCTAACAGTTGTATTGCTTAGCCTACATCTGACACGGAATGCTATTCCACCCCCCTTCTGTCTGGTCTATTTCTCTGAAATAGGTTTTACTCCTCTATTGCTACATATCATAATAGGTTTGATCTTGAACTTTATAAAACAGACTTTTGTCAGTTGAATGCTCCCTTGGATTAAACATATAGGCAAATAAGTTGAGGACATTCTAGAACATCACAGGGAGACTACAGATTGACAGGGCAATTGGCTAAAAGTGCATTGCTTTCCCATTTAGCCCAGGGGACCTCCCAGTATAGCTGGAGCATCTGTTAGACCTTATTTCTTTGAACAGCTGATTTAAATCCAACACAAGGGCTGTGTCCACTGTCCAAATATCATTGTTGGACACTACTATGGCAAATACTGCAGTAGCATTGGAAGCCTAGTTCTAGACTGTATATGAATGAAAGGAGAGAGAAATCCAATAGTTTTGTTTATGTAACTTTTAAAATAGAGCTCATCTTTTGCTTTTTAGCAAATTTATATGCACACACAGAGGCATTCTCATATGGCAGGGATAATAAGGCCTGCAAGATAGCTTGCAGAGACAATCTTGTTCAGTAACAAAAATGTAGTCCACTAGTACACATGCATATGTGATAGCTGGCACAATTGGAAAATCTAACAGAATTTAAGAAGCACATATATGCCAATATACACATACACACACATGAACAGAGCTTCCATTGCACATTCCAATTAATTTGGTTTAGATGTCCATGAAATGTATTTTGCTTTGATCTTCGTGTGAGCTGGGTTTCCCAAACCACCTCATTAATGCCTCCCAAAAATGAAATAGTTGAAAGTCTCTAGTTTACTTTCTCCTGTTGCTATTCAGATGCTTCACAGCGCCATATGATGATGTTCTGGTCTTAACTATTCTGTTTATTAAGCACTCTGTATCAGAAGCACTTTATTAGAGAGATTTAAGATTGTCTGCACATGGCACTTACCTAAAAATCCTTATATTTCACTCGGCACAGTCAGCACTTTTTAATCTGTACCCATTACACTTGGCCCGGCCTTAGTTTTTACTGTGTTATGGTGTATTGTTTTTATTGTTTTATTGTTTTTACTGTTTACTGTCTATTGCTTTAATTTTTGATTTGCTTTATGGTGTATGTGTATTGTTATATTGTGGTTTTATTGAGGCCTTGGCCTTTGTAAGCCGCATCGAGTCCTTCGGGAGATGTTAGCGGGGTACAAATAAAGATAATAATAATAATAATAATAATAATAATAATAATAATAATAAACTGTGATTCCTCCAGGTGGACATTTTTCATGTTGAAGCAGTAGACATTGGTACTCTGCATGAGCTTGTTGTTGAAAAAGGAAAAGGCTCTGATTGGCACCTTGAGAAGATTCTTGTGAAGGAGCCAGGCTTCACAGGAAGAGAGATGGTATTTATGGCTCAGACATGGCTGCGAGACAGAACTGATAGGAAAAGATGGGCCTCAGTAACGCTGAATGTTACAGGTTAGTAATGTTTAAGATATTATTTATTTGCTGAGAATACCATCTAGAATGCCAGAATATGCCACTTTTTCTATTTATTATGGAAGACTGTTATAACAGAAGACAGGTCATGAATAATCTCTGCTTGCCATAGCAATATCACCAGCCAGCTTAGCCGTTAAAGTAAAGAACATTAAGAAACTGTTGTAATGTCCAACTAAACAAATACAGATTGGCTGGAATTCATTTCTTTCATTTTGACCTTATTTGTCCACATTCTGTCTCACCACCATCATTTTTTCAGTTGCTGTAGTGGTATTTTGGCAGTACAATGTAATTCTTCATTTTTTTTTCTCCTTGAAGAAAATGATTGCTAATTGTAGCAGTTTTCTTCCCACTATGAGAAAGTTTTTGAAAAGTGTGCACAACTTTCACAATATTCACAATTCAGGATTTACTCTGCACAATATCCACTCATGCTTATTTTGTACAGAACACAGCATTTTCTGTGCATAAATATTTGTATAGTATGTCTTCAATTCCAACCTTCTACCTGCAGAAAACATTTTTGCATGCAAAATAACCCCCCCGCCCCCTGCCCCAGATGGAAATGTTGTTGACTATAAGTCCTGAACTGCAAAAATTCTCATGAATCAAGAATGGGTTTCACCAGGTTTATTGACATTCTCAAACATCTCTTTTGATAATTTATTTGAATATTTTCAAATATTAATTCCATGGTTAATTGACAAACATTCCAACTAGTGGAAGAAAGAGTGTATTGTATTGAATGGTGATAAACCAGTATTTCCATGATGTATGAAATTCATTCCAACTCACCTTAGATTTCCCAAGCTTCCTTTAGGAGTTCTAGTGTTGACACTGATATTTCTTCAGAGAACCTGAAATGGTTTACCTGCTAGCCTACTCTGTCAATCCTTGTATTGAATTGAGGATCAGACAACTCTAAGGAAAAATAAGGATGTGTTCACACTGTAGAATTAATGCAGTTTGACACCACTTTAACTGCCATGGTTTAATGTTATGGAATCATGACAGTTGTCGTTTGGTGGTGCATCAGCACTATTTTGCAGTAAAGGCTAAATTATGTGTAAATAAAGTATGAGATTTAAATTATTTTTAGCCTAGAACACACTTGAACATTTCTATTAGAAAAGCAAAGTCTTGGTGTATTAAAACAGGTGATATAGTGTCATTAAACTTTTAATGGGATTCCAGCTCAGTATGCGCCCAGTAGAAATCTGTAAGGAAAACTGTAAGTGTACTTAATCTTGAAAATAAATCATGAATATTAATGTTTACCTCACTGACATGTACCTAAGCATCATTTGTAAAGTTAATATATTTTTTTATCTTTTAAAAATTAGAAATGCAGGAACAAAGCATAAGTGCTTCACTGTTACGAAGGCAACAAATGAGATCAGGTAATGTTCCAAACTGTGCCAGACAAATAATAGCTTATGAAAAATTGGGTGAGATTGCTTGTTTTTTGGGGTGTTTTTGGAAATACTATAAACTGTTTTAAAAACAGTAAAATTAAATAGCAGACCATAATCATTTTTCTGCCCCTTAGTTAATGAATACCAAAGGTGAAAAATCATTTTTTCTATCCATTTGCTTTTATTTTTGCAGAAGGTCCATGGAAAATGTATTTTACCGAATGTCATGAAGATTCATCAAAAGAATTTCAAAAGTCTTTGAAAAATATTTCCAGACTGATTGTGGTGTTTTATGGGGAAAACGGCAAATCAGAACCAATTTCCTTGGAAGACAAACAGGATCAAGCTGAGGACCAAACAACATACAATGTAAAATAATATGTTTTCTTTATTATCATTGCCACACAGCATATGGATGGATGGATGCACAAATAAAAGACTTAGCAGTAGAATAGTTTACTCCTTCATGAATTAATTGATGTCATTGTTACCTTATGTATATTTGAGTCTAGGCCAACAAATAAAAATATTAATGAGGTGTGTCTCTATCATATTTATAGCATATAATTTTAGTTATTTGAATGAAAACATGAAACAGGGCTTCTACACTGAAACGTTCATAGAAGCCTATACTGGCTAATTGTTTTCCATCTGGGCTTGTAAGGAACATTGGATTTGTAAAAGAAAAAGAGAAAAAGAAAATCCCATTCCAAATTAGTCTTTAAAAATTATTGAAGTCTAATTGAAATCAGCTTGCTGTCTTGTTTCTTTCTTAGGTACATTTTCCATTTGATCTGGGAATGCTCTTCAAAATCAAGCTGGGGCTTCATAACTTGGGAGAAAACATATCCCAATTGTTTCATCACTGTAAAATGCAGAATGCAGTAACCTTGGATACTTTTACTCTGTATATAAATAAAACACTTCCTCTTCTTAATGGAGAGCGATGGATTGAGTTCCCTGTAGAGTGGCCATTAAGGCAACCACTTTCCGGTAGGTATAAATCAGCATTAGGCCATATAGTACTTCTGATATTACAACTCAAAATCTTATCAAAGCAGGGTGTTTTAATTGCTTTTGATTACGTGTTTCAAGAAATTTCAAGGCTTCAGGACATGTTTATTAAAAGAAGCTTTACTTCTTTCAATTAGAGTGGTGGACTTGCCTGTGTAAGAGACTGCTTGCACATGAAACAGCACATATATCCATGCATATTATTGTAGAGCAGTGGTTCTCAACCTGTGGGTCTCCAGATGTTTTGGCCTTCAACTCTCAAAAATCCTAATAGCTGTCAGGACCCAGAGCAGTCAGCAACACAAACGGCACTGATGGAGTTAAAGTAAGGTGTTTAATGTCTATT